CTCGGTTATAGGGTCTGGGGCATAGTACAGGTGTCGGAAAAAGCAGCAACAGTAATCGTTTGTTTTTACTCCTTGCAGAATCATGTTATGCTATCCTATGTATTAAGGCGCTACCCCAAATTTGAGGCTGTAGGGTTTGGATGCGGGCGCTTGAGGCCTTAACGTCGAGGCAGCTTTAGCTCTTACTGGCGTTTGCTGTTCAAGGTTTAAACCCTAAACCCTAAACCCTAAACCCTAAACCGTGCTTTGGGGTGTTGAGGGAGTCTAGACCCTAAACCCTAAACCCCTAAACCCTAAATCCTAGGACCCGAAAGCCCTAACCCCTAAACTCTAAATCCTAAACCCTACACCCCTAAACCCTAAACCCTAAATCCCTATACCCTAAATCCTAGACCCTAAACCCCTAAACCCTGAACCCTGAACCCTAAACCCTAAACCCTAAACCCCTAAACCCCTAACCCCTAAAACCTAAACTCCTAAACCCCAAACCACTCAAACCCTCCAGGTTTTAGGGTTGAGGGCCTTGGCCTTCCGGCATCGCGAGTTCAGACATGCAGGGGAGACCATGGAAGTGGATCAGAAACGTTTGGGTTTAGGGTTTAGGGTTTAGGGTTTGTTTACCTATAGGATCCATTGTAGTTCCTTTTTGTGGTTTATGTTTAATATCCTAGAAGGTAAACCCAAAAAGGAACTACAATGGAGCCCATGGGTAATTTAGGGCAGGTGGCGCAAGGCACGTGGCGCTGAGTCATCATACCTCACCCTCCCTAAACCCCACCAAGGCCTCCAAACCCTAAGCGCCTGCACTCCAAATCCGGAGGCAACCGGACAAGTACTTTAGGGTCAGAGTATATATATATATATATATATGGGTAGTTCTCTAAATTAGGGTTCCCGTTTGGGGGTCCTCTTTATAAGGGTGCCGTACTATATTCGGGACCTAAAAGGGACCCTAATTTAGAAAACTACCCATGTTTTGTGTGCCCAAGCAGGCTTAGGGTGATCTGAATATCATGGGGCGGTAGCTGAACGATTACTGCAGGTGTTTTATGGGCAATCCGACTTGGCACTGCCAGGAGGGCTCGTAACGTTGGCATCAGCAGAAGACCCTAAGGCTCCGGTTTAGGGTTTAGGGTTTAGGGTTTAGGGTTTAGGGTCTCCATGTACCCATATAGTAGATACTTAAGCCTTAAAGTACCAATATAGGGACCCCTTTAAGGCCTAAGTATCTACTATAAAGGTACATGGAGCCTATGGGAGAGAAAGCCGAGGTGAGAGCGTCACCGAGTCCCCTGTTGGCCAGGAGGAGGATGCGTCTTCAAACCCGGGGCTGCATTCTGGGTTTAGGGTTTAGGGGTT